AAAAAAAAAATAAAAAATTAAATAAGAAAACCAAGCCTCAACATAAAACCCAAGTTTAAAGTTCATTAAAAACAAAAAAAGCTGAAGAACTCTTATCTATGACATAAATAGACATCAAATAGAAGTGAAAATTCATAATCAGAGGACAGTTGATTATAGGAGTCTTCTAAACATTAAGTCCTTGTGTATATCAAAAGACTTTTCAAAAAAAGAGCAAAAAAGAATCTGCAGGTTGGGAAAAAAATATTTGGCAACAACCTATCAGACCTAATTCATGAAGTTGGAGAAAACTTCATGGAGCTCTTGTGGTTGTGCCACTAAATAAAAGGTGGTGCCTCACTGGCAGTTTGAATGCACCAACTGATCCCAAGGAGAAAGATGGGGAGTGTCTTCCCATGTGATTTACAGCTTCAGAAATCAGTGGAGGGGCAGCAGTGAGTCATTTCCGACACACAGGAATGAGTCTTTTTGAGGTGGAAAACTCCCAACACCTCACCAAGAACAAGATGAACAACTCAATTACAAAATGGGCAGAGGACTTGAAGACACTATACCTAGAGTAAATTCAGGAGGCCAGCAAACACATGAAGAAATGATCATGATGATTAACACTCAAAGAAGTGCAAATCAAAACAATTATGAGATATTATCTCATCCCAGTGACAATAGCAACTTGTAGTAAAATAATAACAAATGCTGGTGAGGGAATGGAGAGATTCAAATTCCAAACCCTACTGATGGTACTCTAAAATGGTCTGACCACATTGGAAAACAGTTTGGCATTTACTTAAAAAGCTGGAAGTAAACCATTTGTTGTCATAATCCCACTGTACATATCCTAAAGAAATAAGCACTGTGACATGAACAGGTATATCCCCATTCATGCTCAGTACAGCATTATTTATAGTAGCAAAGAGATGGAAACAGCTAAGTGTCAGTTATGGGACAAACGGTTGAAAAAACTATACTACTACCACACAACGAAGGACTATGCAACACTAAAAAAAAAGTAAAGAACTCCAGAAAGTCTACATAACAGTTGACTCTCTAATGGCTTTCTGAAGCTATAAATTGTATTGGAGATTTCTCATCTCTCCCTTGAAGTGGCTGATAGATTCCAACTACGAGACAGGCATGACCTTTGGATTAGTAGTGTAACTCCTTATAGACTAGGCCACTGTGACAGAAAAATTGAGAGGAAATTGTGCTAAGTAGTCAATCAATCACAAAAAGACAAATACTGTTATCAGACCATTATAAAAAGCTAAGGAAATCCTTTACGCTCAGAATTGTCCTTTGAT